CTTGCAGTTTCTTATGCTATTGATCTCCAGTTTAATTGCACTATGGTCTAATAATATACATGGGATAACTTCAGTTCTTTTGTATTTACTTAAACATGTTCTATGATGTAGTATATAGTCTATCTTTGAGAATGACCCATGTGCAGCCGAAAAGAATGTATATTCTGATATTATGGGGTGGAACACTCTGTAGATGTCCATTAAGTTAATTTGTTCAAAAGCATGGTTCAGTTCTAGTATTTTGTTGTATGTTTTTTGTCTATATGATCTGTCTATTTGTGACAGTGGGATATTAAGGTCCCCCACTACAATTGTATTAATGCTTATTTGGTTTTTCATGTCCCTTAATATTTGTTTTGTATAATTGGGGGCACTAGTATTTGGCACATATATATTTGTTATTCTCATCTCTTCCTCTTGGATTGTTTCCTTTACCAGGTTGTAGTGACATTCTTTCTCTCTCTTAATTAGTTTTGGTTTGAAATTTACTTTGTCTTCAAATAAGATAGCTATCTCTGCTTTTTTGGGTTCCTGTAACATGTAGAACAATTTTCCATCCTTCAGTCTATGAGTTTCTTTTGGAACTAGGTGTTTTTCTTATATTCGGCATATTGTTGGATTTTGCTTCTTAATCCTTTCTGCCAGTCTATTTCTTCTGATTGGTGAATTTAGGGCATTAACATTGATGGTAATAACTGGTATGTATTGATGTATTATTGCTGTGTTATTTTCCTGTTGTACGCTCTTCTTTATTTTTCCCCCTTTCCCTTTAATTTCTTGTCTTTTGGAGTTGCTCTGTTGGGCGTCCTGGAGTTGTGACCTTCATTGTCTTTTTCTAGGATATTTAAAAAAATTGTTTGTAGTGCTGGTTCAGTATTCCTGAAGTATTTTAGATATTCTTTGTCATGAAAAAAATCTTATTTCCACATCAATTTTGAAAGATAGTTTTCCAGGATACATCAGGCTAGGTTGGAGGTTGTTTTCTTTTAGAGCTTGAAATACCTCACTCTAGGTTTTCTTTGACTTGAGGATTTGTGTTGAAAAGTCTGCTGTGATTCTGATCGGCTTTCCTTTGCATGTGATGTGTTTCTTTTCTCTAACTGCTTGTAGTATTTTGTTCATCTGTTGGATTTCTGGGGTCTTGATTATTATGTCTATATGTGGATTTTTTTTTATCATGGCTGTTTGGAGTCCTATATGCCTCACTTATCTATATGTCAAATTCTTTTGCTCTGTTTGGAAAGTTATCTGTCTTTAATTCTGTCAACAGTTTTTTTTTTTTTATGTCATTTGTACTTTCTCCTGCTTTTTTTATGGACTCCAAACAATCTTATATTATTCTTCTTTGCATCATCTAGGAGTTGTTGGATTGATTTCTCATGGTCCCTTAATATTTTTAAGAGATCTCTCTTTTCCTGGCCACTGACCACCATCCTGTCTTCTATATCTGATATTCTGTCTTCAGATTGGTTCAGTCTGTTGTGTATACTTTCAATAGGGTTTTTAATCCCTGAGTGTCTGTTTGAATCTGTTTCATTGATTCCATTTCTTTCCTGTGTTCAGCATTCATAGTTTCCATGTCTTTCCTATGCTGAGCATTCATGGCTTCCATCCTGGTCCTGAATTCATCTATTTCTTTTTATCACTTTTTGTTCTAGAGACTCTAATCATACCTTTTATTCTGCTCATCATCTGTATAGTTCTCTGGGAAATTATTTCTGTTTTGAATTTTTCTAGAGACTCATTCATCTGTCTATTTGCTTCCTGTGCTATAAGTTCAGGGTGTCTAGGTGGTTGATTATCAGACTTTTCCACCTTGTTTCCCCCAGGATTTGCCTTTGGTAAGCTGGAAGACTGTGTCTTGCTTAAATGTCTTTTGCTTTCTATTATTGTTGCTGGTACAGTCCTTGGTTTAATTCCTTGACTGATACTTCACAATTATGTATTATAAGTTTCTTAGCCAACCTTATCAAAAAAGGAATGAAAAGGCTCAAATCCATGCAATTAGGAATGAAAAAGGTGAAGTCATGACAGATCCAGCAGAAATCCAGAGGATCATCAATACCTACTTTGAGAACCTGTACTCTAATAAAATGGAAAAAACAGAAGAAATGGACAGATTCCAAGATACATGTGAATTACCAAACTTGAATGAAGAAGATATAAAAAGTCTAAACACCCCAGTTGCAATCAGTGAAATTGAGAACATAATTAAAAATTTACCAACAAAGAAAAACCCAGGTCCTAATGGCTTTACTGCTGAATTCTACAAAACATTTAGAGAGGAACTACTGCCACTACACTTTAAACTTTTCGGTGAAATTGAAAGAGAAGTAATACTTCCAAAATCATTCCTGGAAACAAGTGTTACTTTCATTCCAAAACCAGGGAAAGATACAACAAAATTCAAAAATTAGGCATCTGAAATGCACAGATATTTCTCAAAGAAGTAAATTCAGAAAATAAACATATGAAAAAATGTTCAACATCACTAGTTTCTCGAGAGATGCAGATGAAAACAACACAGATTTTACCTCACCCCAGAAAGAATGGCTGCTCTCATGAAATCAACCAATAACAAATGCTGGAAGGTTTGTGGGGAGAAAGGAACCCTCCTTCATTCTTCATTGTTGGTAGGAGTGCAGACTGGTGAAACCACTGTGGAAATCAGTATGGAGATACCTCAGACACCTAGGATTAGAAGTCCCATTTGACCCAGCTATTCCTCTGCTGGGTATCTTTCCAAAAGAATTCAGTCCTAGCACAGCACTATATGCTCACCCATGTTTATAGTGGCACAGTTTGTAATTGCTAAAATTTGGAATTGCCTGTCAACTGGAGACTGGATAAAGAATAATTTTTTTTTTTATAAAATGGAGTACTACTCAGCCATAAAGAACGAGAAACTGGAGATATTTATAGCTAAGTGGATGCATGTTAAGGTCATATTCTTAAGTGAAATTAGTAAGATACACATGTGAAAATACTAAATAGTTTCTCTTCTTTAAAAAACTAAAAGTTTAGTGGTGCATGCCTGTAATCCCAGCATTTGGGAGGCTGAGGCAGGAGGATCATTGTGAGTTCGAGACCAGTCTGGACTACATAGTGAGTTCCAGGTCAGTCTCAACTACATAGTGAGACCCTGTCTCTAAAAAAGAAAACTAAAAGTGTAATTAAGGATCAATATGCATAATTGATATTGTATAATAGGAAGAAAAAGTCTAAAAGAGTAGAGGATATGTGAAGGGTAGGGGAAAGGTAAAAAGGGAAAAGAAAAAATATGAGAAAATGAAAAACATGGAAACAATATCTTTGTAATCAGGGAAAGATGCAAAGAGTGAAGGGGGGGCAGGGGAATGGGGAAAAAATAACAACCAAGATAAGTCATATAAAGGTGCAAGATCCCAGTGATGAATGTAACTGTATTGTATACCTAAAATGTACCAATAAACTTTAAAAAAAGAAACAAATTTTCTGTAATCACTGTAAGACCATGTATTATTTGTCTACCATGGTTTATGAAAGAATGCATATTTTAACTATTAAAGAATTTATTGTTAAAGTAATTCCAAATATGATTATTAAAATTAATACAGAAATTAAAATAGTGCACTAAAAATATATTTATCATACACAAAAATGGCAGCAAAGGAAAAATAGAACCAAAAAAAGGAGAGAAAACAAATAGCAAAATGAAAAATGTAAATCCGACCATGTTAATTTAATGTGAGTAATTCAGCATCTCAGTCAAAAGAAAGATATTGGCAAACTAGATTTTGAAAAATAAGACGATGCCTGCAGAGGCTATTTATTTATTTATTGAAAAATAAAAAGTATTCTCTTTATTCTAATTTAAATGAAGGAGGTGCTTAATGGTAAAGTTCAGACAGAGAAGCCTTTCTTCAGTATCCCCAGTGATGGCTTCTGCAGCACAACTGTATCGACCCTTAGCAAATAGTATTCCTTGAAGGAGAAGGCTACTGTTGTATCCACAGTTTCTTCTTTCAGAGCTCTGCAGCAAGAGTACTCATCATCATATCCTCTGCAAATAACTCCTTTGTGTATTGGCAGTTTCATGGAGTGGAAATATATATAGAAATTGAAGCATAACTTTTTAAAGTCCCTCCTTGGTATGAAGAAAATATACAGCGTCCCAGGTGATCCCTTCTATATTAAATAGAGTGTAATATTAATTGAAATAGGGAATTTCTTGTTATCACAGTAGGTGTACAAAATATTTGCATTGGAGGAGCTGCGGCTCCGGTGGGGCTAATGGCTGCAGCAAAATCAGTAAAGGAATGCAAAATGGCTGTCTGCCTGCTGGAGAGCCAGAGGATCCGGTAGATGATGTAAGGCCTGGAGCTCACTGCAGAGTCCGGTGCAGGTCTTTCTGTTCCTCACTATCTGTGCTTTGAAGAGCAGCAGTATCTGGTGAACTTGTTTCCTGGTTTTGCATCTTGTGAATTTATTTCAGTGGATTAATCCATTGATGAGTTCACAGCTGAATATGTTGTTAGGAGTTGAAGCCTGATTGGAAGAGGTGGGTCACTGGGAATGTGACGTGGAAGGGGATATTTCCCTTGCTCCTTCCTTTCTCTCATAACAGACCACAAACTATACATGGACGTTCTTATTTGGGCAACAGTGACTCTCAAAATGTTTTTATGCGTGAAAAGAATATTCATACACCTCGAGATATCTAAACATAAGGAAAAACACAACACTCCTGTTTGCTTCTGACATCTGATTCCTAGTTTAGGGGCAGTCACACTTACATCATCCATGCATATAACAGCATGTGTGGATCTCACACTTTTTAACAAATATGAGACCTTTTTTATCTTCAAAACATAGCTAATTCTAAGGATCATTCTCTGAGAATTAATAGAAGCTCTGATAGTTTCAAATCATTTTAACAATGACTAACAATACAAAAGTAAAGGCAATCTTACACCTGCAAATATGAATTACACTGAAGCACAAACATAAAAACAGCAGGCTCATTTCTCATCCCCAAGCTGTTTCTTTTCACTGTCTTCTTCTATACCAAAAGTAAATGGTTTGTCATAACCCATTAGATGGTTATAATCTTCACGGTTTGGAAAGAGCATTGTTTTAACTAATAGTGATTTTGTTTTAGCATAAAATGTGGTCAACAGATGTGTGCTATTTGGAATCTTCATGTCATTTTGGTGAAACACTGTGCTCATTTCTGAAAGCACAATATTGTAAGTAATGGCTTTATAAGTGTATGTTTTGGCCTCATGGTACAACCAAATGACAGTGCCTTTTGAAACAAAATGAAGCACTGCTGGGGGTAATCACCGTAAAGCTTCTGATAACACCATAAAATAGGATTTGTAAAGGCAGAGTTCCAAATATAGTATTGCTTTGTGAAAAAAAATGTATGGTAGACATGCAAGTCTGAACCCTTGTAGAATAAGAGAAACATTTCAAACCAAACATTGCACGGGCCAAATTCCCAGTATAAATCAGCCTTCCATCTTCTGATTTGCCAAGTTGTGCGTGAGAATATGAGAATATTGAACACATCTTTCCCAGCAAGCAGGTATCTGCACTTGCCTGGGCCACCAAAGGAGGTACACAGCTCCCTGCAGCCCCATGCTCCCAGTGCCCGCCCACCCTGAGGGCCCACTGCAAGAGCTGCAGAGACAATTTAATTTCAAAGTCACAGATCAGTTTTAAGTAAGTGAATGGATCAAAACATACCAAACAAAGAGTAATCATAAGAAAGCTGCAGCAGTTACAGTATGAGACAAAATAGAAATTAAGGTAAGAAAGATGCTACAAAGAGGCATACTTCATGATAAAGGATTAGTAGGTCAGGAATATGTAACAACAATTATAAATATATATACGTTTATGAATAGAGCTCCAAAATATGTGAGGCAAAAGCTGACAGAATTGGAAGGAGAAATGAACAGATTTTAGAACTGAGTTGATTAATTTTGATAACTAAAAGCAAATTATTTTGATGTCATTAGGTGTGTCTTTGTATTATAGCACACCAACATAATTTTCATTGTTAATGTATGCCACATACATATGTGTTCATTCTCACCATATACTCAGGTACACAAACATACAGTAATGAACAATGCTGACTTCAGTCCTGTAAGCATCTTAGAAAAGTATGAATTTGACTAAAGTTAAAGAAGTAGGAATTTATCTAAAGTCTCATAAAAGCATTAGGACAGGATGAAATTGACTAAAACTTTCTCCGAAAGGATAATTACCAACCATTAGGCATCTACTTCGAAGAACCTATCAAATTCAGCACAAAGGTATGTCAAAGAATTTGTACTTAATTGATTAGCTAGGTAAAAGAATTCAGAATATGCTTACAAGATTTAAAGGTCCTATACAAGGTGACATTTCTCATCCTCTCAGAGGCAAAAATAAAATAGAAATATATTGTTAATGAGGAAAATAAAGCCTGTGCAAATTACGTAATATTCCAGAAAGGAAAGTACAATACGAAAACTCCATAATATAAAACTATAGTAGATCAAGGATGAATAGGCATAAGTTTACTAGCAAAAGAGCTCAAACTAATAGGTGAACACATGATGAATGTACAATTTTGTAGAAAAGTAGCATAATGCAACAATTTATTATAAAGAATATGCTGTACAAGTTCTAAGGAAGAAACCTTTTATTATGTTCTGTTGATGAATTTGTATTTATGTATTACATTTACTTTTCTCCTACCACCATATTTCTTTTAAAAAATAGAAAATAAAAGAATGTGCAGAGAGAGAGAGAGAGAATAATGACTGATAAGAAAAAAATAATTAAGAAATGGGTTTCTCATAAGGCCAAAGACAAAGAACATGGATTACTTTTCTCAAAATGGGAAAGGCTAAGAAATATCAGTCTAATTTTTAACATAATAAAAAACTATTCCAAGAATCAACTGCTCTTATTTCTAGTTCAAGTTCTTTTCTTAGATAATCCAGTGATGGTGATAATGGTGTTACTCTTATTTCTAAAATTGACATTAATTTTTATGCTTGCCTTTTACATGGATTACCTAATTTAACCTTCACAATCCCCCTAAAAGGTTAATATGCAAATTAACTCCATTTTTCAGATTGGAAAGCTGAATATAATTTTCCTTAGGTGTAAAGTAGGCCATTAAAATATGTACTTCTTACTATTTCAGGTAGAAACATGAAAATGCTTTGCAGCACTCATGTCATGAAGGTTTATTTGTTTTATGAAAATGATAGGAATTAATTATATAGGATGCTTACTGCTTGTTTAAGACAAAGTAAGGGGAAATTAGAGTCAAAGAAAGGATATTTTCTGCTCTGTTATAATTAAAGCCAACAAGAAGTTGTTGAATACTTGCTATATGTCTATCTCGGTTCTGTACCATGATAGAATTATATAAATTTTTTAAAGAATCAAATGTATTTAAGGTCCCATTAATAACTCTAGCTAACATTATTAAGCACTTACTATGTGCTCATTTACACTTAATACTAATACTAGTAATGGTTGTCATTGTTCATTTTACAGATGAAGAAACAGAAACTAGTTGATGATGAAAGTGGAATTCAAACCCGGGTACTTGGGCTTGAGAGAATGAATTGGTGAATAGATAGATAGATGATGACAGACAGACAGACAGACAGACAGGGTGAGGACTATAGCTCTGTTAAGTCAGGAAAGAGGGAGAAGTCAACTTGAGCCAGTTTGGACAAATAGCCTCAGTGTCCTTAAAGAAATGGGCTTCCATAGTCAAAAGATGGTAGGGAGGACGTAATAAATGCTCTGTGCAGGGATGAACAGAGCACATTTGATGTAAACAGTTATTTATTAATTTATCCATTCAGTGAGCATTCACAAACCTCTTCTAGGCCATTCCCTGTGCTATTTTCTAGGATATGAAAAAAGACCAATTAAGAGTTTAAAGCACTCAATGACTTTGCTGACTGCACCTGCAATAGTGCAGAAGTAAGTTGAGATTCACCTACTATTCCTGATTCTAAATAGAGAAGGAGGAATGAACCGATCTGAGGATGAGGAAAAGGAAAAGGAAAAGAAAAAAGATGTTACAGAGGAACTATGAGGAGAACACTTCAGAGTGACAAAATTGTTATCGTGGAATGTCCAGCAAGCTGTGGGAGTCAGAGGGTTATAAGACATGAAGTTAGAAAGGTGAGGTGAGGATAGAAAAGCCCTGGACATTGTGAGTTTATTTTTTAATCTGAGGGATTGGGCAGTGGACAGAGTTCAAGTGTGTCAACCTGCCCAAGCATCATTAAAGACTAGAGGGAGGTAAGGGAGAAATAAATTGGAGCTACATATTGGAGATCCCTACATAAAAGGTGTTTTGAATGAGGTTTTGAGCCTGAAGAGATAATCAGTGAAGAAACATGTGATATGATCAAACCCAGTCACATAGTTAAAATCAGCACTTGAGCTTCAGGTGATGAAGTTCTGGAAAGCTGGAAGTTGGAATAGAGAGGAAATGATGAGTCTGGCAGAAATATTGAAGATATATTAACAGATATCACAAACTGCTTTGATAGAAAAAGTGAGAGAGAGGAGTCAGATGAGTTCATGTTTCCAGCCTAGGAAACTTGGATACTAGGAGAACTGTGGCAAGGAATGTATTTATGTAGGAAGAGGTAATCATTTTTTAAATATTTGAGAGATAATTTGAGAACCATTTTGGAATGGATTTTAAAGATAATGGAACTCAGTCCACAAAAAGAACTGAGACAGCTAAATCTCAAATGTTGGCCTTTAATAAGTGATCAAACAGGGCCTGGGATTTAGTTCAGTGGTTCCACTGCCTGCCTCTCAAGAGCAAGGTCTGAGTTCGATCCCCAGTACCCCAAAAAAAAAGTGATCAGTTAAAGATCTAACCTGGATAAACATTAATATATTTGAAATAGGCACTGGACCACTTGGCCTCTTTAGATTCCATGCATGAATGCATCCAACAGACTTGTGTTACGGAACCTCCAGTCAGTACTGTGCATAGCAGGTAGTGATGTAGCTTAGCAAACAACGGCCTATACTCTCCGATCAGGCAGAGCCTGGGTCCTAGTTAGCTCCTGCACTGGAGTCCACTATATAGCCCTACCCTCTATAGCACTGCAGCCTCCAACCTGTGAAATAGAAATCATGGTAGCACCCATCCCATGGGAAGGTCATAAAAATTAAGGGTTAGTTATGTATGACACCTTTTGTGTCAGACTCACAGAAGCTGCCACCACTGTCTTACGTCATCTTCAAATCTCCACCATCATTGTCATCTTTGTCGCTATTATCTGTTGTCCCTGTCTCATCGTCGCCCCAGTTGTTCCTGTTGTCACCGTCATCCTCAATCCCGTTGTCCTTGTCGTATCCACCTCACTTTCATCTCCATCATCACTCTGCTCCCTGACTTCATTATCGCTATCATCTGCATCGTCTTCCTCATCCCGTCATTTTAGTCTCCATGGTAGAAATATTGCAAGGTCATAGATACCTGGTTAGTTCTATTAATTTTTCTGTGCATATATCTTGAATATCACCACTTGGGAACAAAGTTACATATGGAACAGTTCCTGGATGCTGGTTGTTAGTTACCTTGTACCTTTTCTACTTCTTGTACTTGTAAAAAACAGATAGCTATCTATATTTAATGATGCTCAAATAATTATTCTCATTTCGGGTCAGTCCAATAATTTTAGTTTCATTTACACTATTCTTATTTAATTGCTCCAAAATGCTGTATTATTGTTGCTTTTTTTTTTTTTTTAGCTTTTATGTAAAAAGCACACAGCAAGACATAGGTCTTGTTCAACAGTTAATTAAATTAAAACAGCCAACTTTACTATTTAAGGAACAATGTTGCCTTTGCTGTTTAACCATACTTTAAGTTTGCATGTCTTATGAACATCAGTGTTTTGGCAGAAAATGGGAGAATTGTAATCCATCTCTGAATGGTTTTGTGCAGGTTTTTTAGAAAAGATAATGGTAAGAATTTGGCTATCTTTTCACTATGGCTAAATACCTACCTCTTGGGGAAAAGGATTTTATGTTGAAGATGTGTTTAAAATGTCAGTTTACTGAGATGGTTTATATTTTAAGCTGATTTTTACTTTGAAATATCACAGTATTATTTATTTAGAAAAATGGCTTTGATAAAAATTAGTCAAGAAAATAATGTTGCTTTCAGCACGGCATGTTCCTAATATTCTGGTTTTAGAGAATGGGAAAAACCTTATTTATTTTTGCCATTATCCTCTTGCTAGTAATATGTATTCTACAAGGGTTAAGGGGAGTGCTAAGGAGGGGAGGCAACTGCTCCTCTGTAATTTCCATGGACCAATCCTTTGCAGACTGCCATCAATCTGTGATAAGTCAGATATTGAGAGTATGTCCTTAAAAACATTTACACTAAGTTGACTTCATTATAACTACTGTGATATCCAAACTTGTGTTTTTGTATTTAACAAAAATCTTAGTCATCAATTAATTAGAAGTTTTAAAAATTAAAAATCTTTAAACTGGGCATGCCTCTAATCCCAGCACTCGGGAGGCTGAGGCAGGAGGATCGCTATGAGTTCTAGGTCAGTTTCAACTGCATAGTGAGACCCTGTCTCAAAAAACAAAAAACAAAAAAAAAATTTTAACTTTCA